GATAGCAGGGGTAAGGTTTAAAAAAATCAGGGATTATTGCAGGGAAACTTGTAACCTTTGGGTGTACTAACTAGTTTCTTCCCAAAAAGTTTAAAGAGCTCTCTTGTGAAAGAATATTCCTGTGAGTAACTGAGGGGTACGGTTCCCAGACTGAAAAGTATTTGGGGTCTGTCACCTCTTTTCTGATGTTCCTACTTTTATTCTTTATTCTTCTGACTACCTCTATTAGGAAAGATAATACTAAGAATACCTGTCCCTTCTTCTCAGTCCAAATAGAAGCAAACCCAGGTTGTATTTGAGATATCTGCATATTTTCTTCCAAGCAATTCTTTGTCCTCTTCTCTCCCATGCTTTTCTATTTCCTATTTTCAGCAGGCTCTGAAGTCATCTATAATTTTTACTGCCCCTCAGTGACATTACATGGATATTCATCCCCGATTTGCAGATTAAAGCACTGAATCAGAGTGAGGTGAGGGTTGCCCAAGGTTACACAATAAATCTGGCCCCAAACAGGGGTAACCCTTGAGTTTCTAGCCTGTTGATTGGCCACTGACCCGTGCTGCAGGCACACAAAGGAAGCTGCACCCACAGCAGTCTGTTGTGGATGGTTGCTGAGCTTCGCATTCGGCATTGGGCTTGCTTTGTTTCCTGCCAGGCCCAGCATTTTCTTCTACCAGATCGGCAGGCTTTGTGGGCGTCTTCCTAGGGCCCTGCCCTGCACTCTGAATAGGAAAGCTGGAAGCTGTGCTTTAGAGAAGCTTTAAGACGCTGTAAGAAACCAGAAGAGTGAGTGCCAGTTGTATGTGCGTGGTCTCCATCCGCAAAGCCGGAGCTGGGCGCAACAGTGTTGACTTGTAATTGATGAATTTAGATCGGGGGCAGGCCGGGGGAGGGCAGTGCTTTTGATTTAGGCTGGGAAAGGCCTCCTAGTGACTATGTTCAATTTGGAGGAATTCAGATGTTCTTTTGTGATACAAGTGAAGCTGTGTAATACAAATGAGGAGTTTTACCTTCCCTAAATCTTCCCCTTATCATTCCCGTATTATCAGTGAGATCTGGTTACGATTTATGTAAATGGTGGCTAAAAAATTCAAACGACGGAGGGGGAGAATTCTCATTTTGGAACTTCACATGCTGTGCTAAATAAGTAGCGTGGGATGTTGGCTTTGTGACAGGTCTTTTGTCATTTTTCAGAAAGCATTTTGACTTGTTAATGTCAATTTGGAACAGTTGAAAAAATACAGGAAAATAAGGTAAATACATACATATTGAGGGTGGGGACAAAATGAATGTTCTGAACCAGCTTACAGTAGCCATATAAGCAGCAGCAGCAACGCACCAACCTGGTGAGTAATAGGCCTGATTCACTAGAGATAGTAGCGCCTTTAATGAGTCAGATGGATGCACACTGGGTGTGGGAGCAGTTGGACTTGTGGGCAGAAAGTCTAGCAAGAAGCTCAGACTTGCAAACAACTCTAGGACATGCAAAGCAAGCTGGCATTGGAGCTTGCTGGACACAGCTGCTCAGGAATAGGCAGCTGGTTTTCCCTTTGATCCCTGAGATTCCAAAGGTTACTTTCCTCTTTGTTCCCTTCCCAGGGTCAATTAGAGTAGAAACTGCAGGGGCTTTTCAGTTGAGAATTTTCCTAGATTTCTTAAAAATGTGTATGCTGGCTTAAAATCTGCCATCAAGAATCCCATTACCTTACTTTAAGCCTCCAGTTCCTTCAAGATGTATTGTGGAGGAGACCAGAGGGCCCTTGCTTTGAGGCTTCAGAGGATGGTCATTATCTGGGTGAGCACTGTGGATAAAGACTGAGAGAGCAACTGAAAGAAAGTGGGCCCCTGAATGAAAGTGATTTTGCAAAGTTTAGGCAGATGCCACCATCAGAAACTGATATTTTCTGAAGTCTTTCTCACCTTCCTCTAGAGCATTCAGTCCAGAAATGACCAGCCTATCCAAGGAGGAAATTACTGATATTGATCTGTTCCTTAGAGCAGTGTTTCAGCCTTTTTTTTTTTTTTTTTTTTTTTTTTGAGACGGTATCTCATTCTGTTACCCAGGCTGGAGTGCAGTGGCATGATCTCAGCTCATTGTAACCTCCACCTTCCTGGTTCAAGCGATTCTCCTGCCTCAGCCTCCTTAGTAGCTGGAATTACAGGTGTGCACCACCACACCCAGCTAATTTTTGTATTTTTGATAGAGATGGGGTTTCACCATGTTGCCAAGCTGGTCTCAAACTCCTGACCTCAAGTGATCCTCCTGCCTTGGCCTCCCAGAGTGCTGGGATTACAGGCATGAGCCACCACGCCCGGCCTTCAGCCTTTGTGATGGTAAAGCACAGTAACACATTTCTCATTACACCCCTGGACGCACACACACATAAAACCCAAAAGTTTCACAAAATGATTCTTGCTCTTACTACTTTCAGTACACTCTGCATTTAAAAAAAAAGAAAATGCTGGCTGTGGCTTCCTAAGTGGTACGTGCAGTTTTCACATCAGTGCCCTTAGCAATAAAATATGCCCTATACTGATTATCTCCGGACAAAGTCTGAATGGGGCTTGGCTCTAATCTCTAGTCCTCACTGGACATTTTACATACCTGGCCTTTGCCTCTACCCTGATGTGGAGTGATCATGGGGGTGGGAAATACAGCTGGATCCGAAAGCTCTGAAGTGGGGATGGAGGTGTCACAGCTGAGGCTAGGCCCATTCTGCAGGGCACTCAGTGTGTGCAGTTGGTTTTCTATCAGGGGTCAACTGGCAGGGGGACTTGAGGACAGATCTCTGGGCATGAAGCAGGGCCTTTGCCTGGGGCTTGCTATGTGGCTCAGCCTACACAGCTCTCTCCCTGTCAGTCCTGTCCAAAGCCCAGGAAACTAATGTACCACCCCTGAGGAAGACAGCCTACCTCTCCATCCAAGGAAGTGTTTTACCTGTGGTAAGCACTGGGGACAGAATCCTTGAGAAAGGAGGGTGCTATGTCCCAGTGGTGGAAGAAAAGAGAGGACCTGGGGTAAGCAGCCATGGCATGGACCTCATCCGAGGTGGCCCCTGGCTAGGCGTCCTGACCCCCAGTCTTTCCCCAGTAACCATCACTTTGAGTAAACAGTGGCTCCACCCCCAGCATGGTTCTTTGCACCAACATTTGGGGAATGCCTACCAGGGGTCACACACTGACCTGGATGCTGAGTGTAGGGTGTCTACAACATCGTGCCTAAAAAGTCTCTGTATGGGGTATAAGAAGGTGCTGGTGCAATACAGATGAGATGAGAAGCATCTTTCAGGGAATGGGTTGATCCCAATTCAGGCTTCCCAGAGAAGGATGTCTATAGACTTGATATTAGCAAGGGAGGTAGGGTAGCCAGGCCACAGGACTGCTGGTGTAAAGACCAGGGCATATGAAATGGCAAGTGTGATTGTGCTTTCAGCCAGTAATTTGGTATTGTCAAATGATGTGACCAAATAGCTGGAGAGGCAGATCCTAAAGGGTCCTGTGGGCCGGGCTAGACTTCATCTTGTCACTAACTAGTGGAGAGGCTCTGAAGAAGATAAAAAAGCTCAGTTTGTCTCGTGATTAAATCCAAGTTTTACAAAGGTCACTCTGACTGTAAAGTGGAAGGTGGGTTGGCCAGGGGATCATCTAGTCTGGGTGAGAGGGGATAACATGAAGGGGTGAAGAGAGATTTTGAAGTGATTCACAGGATTAAACATTTAAATAACGGAAGTGGAGGAAATGGGGCGGGGGGTGTTCCAGATTTCAGGCACAGAAGAAAGAAGTGCAGTTAAGCACAAATAAAGAGAAACAGGAACAGCAGGTTTTAGGGGAGAAGATAACAGAATGGGTTAGAAATGACACTTGAGGCCGGGCGTGGTGGCTCACGCCTGTAATCCCAGCACTTTGGGAGGCTGAGATGGGTAGATCACAAGGTCAGGAGATCGAGAACATCCTGGCTAACACAGTGAAACCCCGTCTCTACTAAAAATACAAAAAATTAGCCTGGCATGGTGGCGGGTGCCTGTAGTACCAGCTACTCGCTACTCGGGAGGCTGAGGCAGGAGAATGGCGTGAACCCGGGAGGCGGAGCACTCCAGCCTGGGAGACAGTGAGACTCCGTCTCAAAATGAGTACCCTAGTGTGCTAGGTAATGATCTGTCTTCTGTCTGCTTCCCTTCATTTATCATGTATATTCCCATTTAATTTGCACAAAGACTTTGAGTTAAACGGTCTTATCCCAATTTGTCAAATTTCTATGTTAGATGCATGATACGGTACAAGAAACCATAAGTGGCTGAGGCAGCATTGGTGTTCAAATTGCCTGACTACAAAGACAGTGCTTGTTGGCTACATTCTGTTGCTTCCTGGTTTAGAACATGTCACATTGATGCGCCTGTTGCATTTCCAAATAAAAAAGTGCAGAAAGAAGGTGGCTGTATAAATCTGGGGCTCACAAACTAATTTTGATTATTGAGAGTTTGCTTTCAAGGAGCAAATTGTGGCTCCTTGATTATGAACCTTAATTAAAAAAATAATAATAATAAGTCTTATTCCTGCCTTGTCTGGGGCAAGCCTTAGTGGATTTTTACTGCTGTGAATTTTCTTTTCATTGAAGATTTTGCCTTCATCTATGTATCTACTTTCCTCCTGACCATATTCAAGTCAGTATATTCATGAATATACCCATTTGTGAAATTTGAACTTACGTATACAAGATTATAGCTGTTTGGGAAGCTTTTTTTTATTTTTTAAGAGTAGGAGTAGAAAAAGGTCTCTGTATTCTGAATGGGAAGACAGTGTAAAGCAATATTTTCCCTTTTCCTGTCCTCCTCTAAAAAAAAATAAACAGCTATATGCCTCTGCCAAATACTAACTGCCTTATCACCTTTTGTCCAGATCGGGCAGCTTACATTTGGTTTTAAGAAATTAGGAATATGTGTCTTTCTGGCACCTCAGTAACCCACGTGATTGTGATTCTTTTCTCTTCTTGACTCTGATAGGTGGCATGGAATGTTCACATGGGAGAGCCACATGAGGCTGCCCACCACGCTTCCTGAAGGATGCCCGGGTGGAAGAATTTTGACGTGCCAGTGTCCTCGTTCTACAGGGTGTTCCATTCTTTCACAATCTCAGAAAAATGGGATTAAAAGAAACTATTTTGTGAAATAAGAAAACTGTTTTCCATTTTTAATGACCAACATGTATTAAGATGGACACCTACTCTACGAAATACGAAGTTCTATGGTCCCGAAGAAGCCAGTGCCTGTTTAAAACTGATCCTAAATAAAAACAGACTTGAGTGGATATGAGAATGTTGATTAGTGGCAGAAGAGTCAAAAAATGGCAGTTTATTCAGTTATTTGCAACTTGTTTTATAGGGAGCCTCATGTTTTTTTGGGAACCGATCGATAATCACATTGTGAGCCATATGAAGTCATATTCTTACAGATACCTCATAAATAGCTATGACTTTGTGAACGATACCCTGTCTCTTAAGCACACCTCAGCGGGGCCTCGCTACCAGTACTTGATTAACCACAAGGAAAAGTGTCAAGCTCAAGACGTCCTCCTTTTACTGTTTGTAAAAACCGCTCCTGAAAACTACGATCGACGTTCCGCAATTAGAAAGACGTGGGGCAATGAGAATTACGTTCGGTCTCAGCTGAATGCCAACATCAAAACTCTGTTTGCCTTAGGAACTCCTAGTCCACTGGAGGGAGAAGAACTACAGAGAAAACTGGTTTGGGAAGATCAAATGTACAATGATGTAATTCAGCAAGACTTTGTTGATTCTTTCTACAATCTTACTCTGAAATTACTTATGCAGTTCAGTTGGGCAAATACCTATTGTCCACATGCCAAATTTCTTATGACTGCTGATGATGACATATTTATTCACATGCCAAATCTGATTGAATACCTTCAAAGTTTAGAACAAATTGGTGTTCAAGACTTTTGGATTGGTCGTGTCCATCGTGGTGCCCCTCCCATTAGACATAAAAGCAGCAAATACTACGTGTCCTATGAAATGTACCAGTGGCCAGCTTACCCTGACTATACAGCTGGAGCTGCCTATGTAATCTCCGGTGATGTAGCTGCCAAAGTCTATGAGGCGTCACAGACACTTAATTCTAGTCTTTACATAGATGATGTGTTCATGGGCCTCTGTGCCAATAAAATAGGGATAGTACCACAGTACCATGTGTTTTTTTCTGGAGAGGGTAAAACTCCTTATCATCCCTGCATCTACGAAAAAATGATGACATCTCATGGACATTTACAAGATCTCCAGGACCTTTGGAAGAATGCTACAGATCCTAAAGTAAAAACCATTTCAAAAGGTTTTTTTGGTCAAATATACTGCAGATTAATGAAGATAATTCTCCTTTGTAAAATTAGCTATGTGGACACATATCCTTGTAGGGCTGCGTTTATCTAATAGTACTTGAATGTTGTATGTTTTCACTGTCAGTGAGTGAAACCTGGATGAAAAAAAACCTTTAAATGTTTGTCTATACCCTAAGTAAAATGAGCATGAAAGACAAATATTTTGAAAGCCTAGTCCATCAGAATGTTTCTTTGATTCTAGAAGCTGTTTAATATCACTTATCTATTTCATTGCCTAAATTCATTTCAAAGAATTCGTATTTAGAAAAGGTTTATATTATTAGTGAAAACAAAACTAAAGGGAAGTTCAAGTTCTCATGTAATGCCACATATATACTTGAGGCGTAGAGACGTTATTAAGAAGTCTTGATGTTAGAGTAATTGCTTTTGGAAAATACCAAATGAACGTATAGTACAACATTTCAAGGAAATGAATATATTGTTAGACCAGGTAAACAAGTTTATTTTTGTTAAACAGCACTTGGTGGAGGTGGTAGGGGCAGGGAAAGGTCAGCATAGGAGAGAAAGTACATGAATCTGGTAAAAGAAAGTCTCTTGTTCTTACGAGGAGATGTAGAAAAATGTGTACAACGTTATTATAAACAGACAAATCACTTCTTACCACATCCATGTAGCTATTGGTGATAGAGTCATTAAAATACCTTTTTTTTTTTTTGGTATCTTTTTTCAAAGTTTAATGAGAACTTTGAGAAAAGTGAGTAATGCTGCCCTAATACTTTGTATGTTTTTAATGGATTTTTTTTAAGTATTAGAAAATGACACATAACATGGGCAGTTGGTTGCTCATAGGGTCCTTCTGTAGGGAGAAACCATTGTTAATTCAAATAAGCTGATTTTAATGAAGTTTTCAACTGGTTTTTAAATATTCAATATTGGTCTGTGTTTAAGGTTGTTATTTGAATGTAGTTTACATAGAGGAATATAATAATGGAGAGACTTCAAATGGAAAGAGAGAACATTACAAGCCTAATTTATCCATAATTTTATAAAATGAAATCTTAGTGTCTAAATCATTGTACTGATTACTAAAATTAACCCACTCCTCCCCAACAAGGTCTTATAAACCACAGCACTTTGTTCCAAGTTCAGAGTTTTAAATTGAGAGCATTAAACATCAAAGTTATAATATCTAAAACAATTTATTTTTCATCAAATAGCTGTCAGAGGTGATCTTTATTTTCTAAATAATTCAAACTTGAAAACAGTAAAAAAGTGATGGAAAAGTTGCCAGTTTGGGGTTTAAACCATTTTTAAAGCTGCATGTTCCTTGTAATCAGAGAGATGTGTCTGAGATCTAATAAAGTAAGTTACATTTATTTTACAAGCAGGATAAAAATGTGGCTATAATACACTACCTCCCTTCACTACAGAAATAATTAGGTGGTGTCTGCTGCTAGGGAGATTATATGAAGGCCAAAATAATGACTCCAGCAACAGTGGCTGAACTCACTCTAAGACCTTTGACAGCAGAGGCACCTCTTAGGGAAAATAAGATGTCTGATAAAATAAGGTAACGTCTAAAATCATGCAAAACAAAACTAAAAAAGATTTATCAGTATACACAACTGGATGATGATACTTAACAATTTTTAGCAGGTAGCTTTTTAATGTTTACAGAAATTTTAATTTTTTTCTATTTTGAAATTTGAGGCTTGTTTACATTGCTTAGATAATTTAGTATTTTTAACTAATGTCAAAACTACAATGTCAAACATTCTAGGTTGTAGTTACTTTCAGAGTAGATGCAGGGTTTTAGAACATCACAGTTTAAGTTTTCTGACCAATTTTAAAAAACGTAGAGAACAAAAGCATATTTGACCAAGCAACAGGCTTATAATTAATTTTTGTTAGTTGATTCTTTAATGATATATTGCCTTTTGGCCATATATACCCTGTGTATCTATACTTGGAAGTGTTTAAAGTTGCCATTGGTTGAAAACATCAGTGTCTCTGGCCATCAAAGTGATCTTGTTTACAGCAGTGCTTTTGTGAAACTATTATTTATTTGCTGAAAGAACTCTTCTGAACCGTGTCCTTTTTATTTTTGCTTAGAATAGAATGGAGCAGGTTTAAATTTCAAGGAAATATGAAGGCACTTCCTCTTTTTTCTAAGAAGGAAGTTGCTAGATGATTCCCTCATCACACTTAAAGTACTGAGAAGAGTATTTGTAAATAAAAGGGTTCCAACCTTTTAAAAAAGAAGGAAAAAACTTTTTGGTGCTCCAAATGCAGGGCTATCTTTTTTAAAAATGTCAACAAAGGGAAAATAAACTATCAGCTTGGATGGTCACTTGAAGATGGTTATACACAGTGTTATTGTTAAAATTTTTTTACCTTTTGGTTGGTTTGCATCTTTTTTCCATATTGTTAATTTTATACCAAAATGTTAAATATTTGTATTATTTGAATTTTGCTCTTGTATGACAAAATAATTAGTGGGTTAAAAAAAAAAATCTATGATTTCCAATAAACAACTGAAAAATCAGGAGATGTGTATTTAAACTTTTTCATGAACATTGCTTATATAATCATTCATTCTGTTTTAATGTACTACATGGTCTTAGCCCTATTCCTATAGGGTGATCATGTTCTCTGCATTATAGGGCCACCTAAGATGCTACTGTTTGTCAAATGACTCATGCTGGCATGTCTAGATGGGGAGATGTTCTTTCCTAATGTAGTCATGTGCCACAAAATGACGTTTCGGTTAACAATGGACCATATATATGACGACAGTCCCATGAAATTGTAATGGAGCTGCCCTACACAGGTGTACCATTTTTTATCTTTTATTTCAGATTTTTACTGTACCTTTTGTACATTTAGATATGTTTAGATACATAAATACTTTCCATTGTCTTACAGTTGCCTGCAGTATTCAGTAACATGCTGTATAGGTTTGTAGCCCAGGAGCAATAGGCTCTACCATATAGCTAGGTGTCTAGTAGGCTATTCCATCTAGGTTCTCTTATGTATACCCTGGGATGTTTGCACATCGACGTGGTCACCTAAAGATACATTTCTTGGCTGGGCGCAGTGGCTCACGCCTGTAATCCCAGCACTTTGGGAGGCTGAGGCAGGTGGACCACCTGAGGTCAGGAGTTTGAGACCAGCCTGGCCAACATGGTGAAACCCTGTCTCTACTAAAAATACAAAAATTAGCTGGGTGTGGTGGCACACACCAGTAATCCCAGCTACTCGGGAGGCTCAGGCAGGAGAATTGCATGAACCTGGGAGAGGGAGGTTGCAGTGAGCCGAGATTGTGCCACTGCACTCCAACCTGGACGACAGAGCAAGACTCTGTCTCAAAAAAAAAAAAAAAAAAAAAACATTTCTCAGAACTTATCCTCATTGTTAAGCAATGCATGACTATAATCTGTTGAGAGAGGGAAGAAATCACCTCTAGTTACAGTGCCTTAAGATACTACTTGCGAAAGTTACGTTTTCCTTTTCTTTGATGTTGTTAGCTGTCTGAAATACAGTCAATTTTAACCCTAATCTCTTAATATCAGGAATGCCCTTACACCTACTTTGGAGTGTTTGGTGCTTCGATATATTTGCATGTAGTGTGCTCCTCATTTGTTTTTTACCTGATTCCTGCTCAGTTCTTCCCATAGCGTATTGTGTAACTCAATCTATATTTAAAACTTGTCAGCATCTGAATTATTTGGTTATGGTAGAACTTTTTACTTGCAAGGCATGGTAGGAGTTTGTAGTTGGTACTAAAATGTGATGACTTGGAAGAATTAATTAATGACCTATATTTGGGGACTTTAATTGGATGCTATAGCCGCAACGAGAATAGAACCAGAGAACTCTTGATATGCAAGGTTATTCATTCTGCGATAATAATGGGAGGAATATTCGATGTCTCTTTGAGTCCATTTTCCTTCCAATCACTTCTACATTCTGCAGTGACACAGTCCTTAATCATAGCTTTCATTACAATATTCCTTTACTCCAGACCTCAAAGACTCCATACTGCCTCCAGCATCAAATCTAAACTCTTTTACCTGGTTTTCAAGGCCCTCTGTAATCTTTTCCTCCTTCATTCCTTATAGCTTGGTTTTTATCACTGCCACTATTATCTATCATAATGTCATTCGTGACCATACCTTGCTTAAGTTGGTTTCCCTTGCCAAGAACACCGTTTTTTCTATACCTGTTGAAATTTTGGAAACCCAGTTCTACCTTCTCTCTTCCCTTAAGCATCTCTTCCTTCCCTCCTTCCCAAATTTATACTTAGTCACATATATTATTGTACTACCTATTAATCATTCCATGCGTGTTTTTACTAGCTATAAGTTCTGAAGGCAACCATGCCTTGCACAGTGTTCACTTAGGGTTCTGAATAATAAATAATCTCCCAAAAATCTGAAAGCTTTCTATATACCAAGCAAATTTATATCAGTTATGCAGCAAAACTCAAATCTATAAAATCAAAAGGGAATAAGGAAATATAGATTAAACAGTTGCAGCAAAGACTGGTGATCTAAAGGTATTTATTCAAAGCTGGTGGTAGAACAAAAACAGTCTTACAGATTCTACCTCTTGATTAACTCAGTGGCTACTTTTGCCTTTTCTCGAAGTTCTTTTGCAAGAACGTAAAGATATTTTTGTTTCATTAGTTAAGTGCAGTAACTTTATTCCTTTGTGTTTCTCATAAGAAGTATGATTTGGCAGTCTGCCGTAAGTTTTTTGGTTTTTTTCTTCCTCTTTGAGACAGGGTCTTGCCCTGTCACCCAGGCTGCAGGGTAGCTGTGTGATCACAGTTTAGCTTACTGCAGACTTAGCCTCCTGGGCTCAAGTAATCTTCTCACCTCAGTCTCCTGAGTAGCTGAGACTACAGATGCATCCCACCACACCCCGATAAGTGTTTTAACTTTTTGTGGAGATGGGGTCTCACTATGTTGCTCAGGCTGGTCTCGAACTCTTGGGCTCGAGCAATCCTCCTACCTCAGCCTCCCAAAGTGCTGGAAAGTGTTGGGATTACAGACACGAGCCACCACACCTGGCCTGTTATAAGTTAATACAATAATTCATCAACTAACTTAAAGAACACTAAGACTCTTATAAAAGTAGGTATGAGTTTTAGTAAAAGTATTAAAAGATAAACTGTCACTTAAGGAAAACTAGAGAACATATCAATGGCAAATGGTGTTTTTCAGAGGTGATACCATTCAACACTCACATGCTGAATTGGGCCATTCATGATAACTCCAGGACACACGTCCATCAGTAAGAGCCTACGTGTTTCTCTGAACACACCGTAAGCGAAAGAATATAAAGTAGTCTAGTTAACATGATGTTTAATCAAGGAGCACGCTCCTAAAGATGTTTGTTCATTCATTCTACAGACATTTTTCAGAGGCCTGCTAAGAGTCAAGCATTATGATAGACACCATGGATAAAAGCAGCTAAAATCTCAAACAGTGTGGGTATAAATAATGTGACTAGCACTAGAACAGGTGTCATGGTGGGGATTCTGAGTATAAATATTTTTTAAAAAATAAATTTTCCTGTATATTTTTGGCTTTTACCTCCTTAATTTAGGCTTTCTGAATGGCACAGCATTTCTGAGGAGGCAAACACCTTTCTACAGAGCAAAAACAGCATTTGTATAAATTGTGTCTTTGGGGAACCAAGAGACTTTAAATGTGTTTAAACCAATAATTCAGTCAATATCAACATTAGCTTACATGTAATATTCTCTTATAGCCCAATTTTTTAAAACACCGCATTCTTAGAAGTTTGGTTTCTAAGATGTCACTTTAAGCTCTTTTGCTTGTTGCTTTTGTGGGATTCACAAGGTTTGTTCTCAGGTACATAAATGAAGGTTAGTATAGAGGATAAATATTATGATTCTCATCTGGGAAAGACAGGTGCTGAGATGTAAAAGAGAGGATCCTCGCCACCTGTGCCCCCACCCCGCACCCACGGATCTGCAGTCTTACCTGCGGGGAGAAAGGTCTCCGAGCCTGGCCTGCTGCTCCAGCTCAGGGTTCCCCCTTTCATGACGGCTTGCAAAGATTTCTTCATTCTGAAGTGAAGGAAATTTTGTTAAGATTTGATATTGTGGGGACCTCCTAACCTATATTTTTCTCTCTCCCAATTTCTGTGTTTGATTTTGGTTTTGATTCCCTCGATAAGCAAAATAACCAGTTTCTCATGCTGCTCTTCCTTGGGTTTTCCCCAGCTGCTCTGTGGATCCATTATGGTTTTGCCCTTTTTGGCTTCCTTTAGGCACACTAAAAACTCATTCCCAAAAGCAGGTATCGGCCGGGCATGGTGGCGGGTGCCTGTAATCCTAGCTACTTGGGAGGCTGAGGCAGGAGAATTGCTTCAACCTGGGAGGTGGAGGTTGCAGTGAGCTGAGATGGCGCCACTGCACTCCAGCCTCAGCAACAGAGCGAGACGCCATATCAAAAAACGAAAAAAACAAAAAACAAAAAACAGGTGTCCTTTCCCCTTAATCATGAAGGGCTATTCACACTGTATTCATAAGTGATTCATAAGAGGACAGTAAAGCGATCATTGCATTCAGCATCTCCTTTTTTTTTTTTCTTGTAAGAAATCAAGGTCTGGAAAAGTTGCACTCGTCCTAAGACCAGAAAGTGCTGGAGGCAGAGATGAGGTAAGCCCAGTGTAGGCTTTCACAGAGGTGTGATAACAAGTCTAACTAAAGACGTGTCTGGGGTACTAGTTTTGCCAATTCAGCTCTAAAACAATATGGCAATCTTATATTCCAAGTGTGTGTGTGTGTATGTATATATATGTGTGTGTGTGTATATATGTGTGTATATATATGTGTGTGTGTGTATATATATACACACATGTTTTCCTTTTAAAATAGGATGCCAGTCCCATAAGAATCTAAATTTTAGTTCCCTCTATTATATATATCTGACCAGGGACCAGATAATATTTTTCATGTGTCAATATATAAAAGTTGGCCGGGTGCAGTGGCTCATGCCTGTAATCCCAGCACTTTAGAAGGTGGAGGTCAGTGGATCATTTGAGGTCAGGGGTTCAAGACCAGCCTAGCCAACATGGTGAAACCCCGTCTCTATTAAAAATACAAAAATTAGCCAGGCATGGTGGCAGGCACTGGTAATCCAGCTATTTGGGAGGCTGAGGCAGGAGAATCACTTGAGCCTGGGAGGCGGAGGTTGCGATGAGCCGAGATTGTACCACTGCACTCCAGTCTGGGCAACAGAGTAAGACCTTGTCTCAAAAGAAAAAAAAAAAAAACCATATATATATATATATCTCCCACGATTCAAATTCGAACCAGTTCCAGGATTCAAATTCAATGTAATTATTTTCACCACACTACCAAAAAGTCTTTCTTCACATTTTCTATATAAAGTTGAACTAATTCATATAGCAGTGAATGTTACATTGTATCCTTTTGCAGTTTCTCATCTATGACATTACTATGCCCAAACTCCCTACTGAACTTTGAACTCAGTCTTACTCATCT